TGTACCCCACATTCACAGCTTCGGGTGCGCCTGTACCCCACAGTCACTGCCACAGATGTCAGCTCAGCCTTTGTGAGGGTGAACCCACAGGAAGTGACTGGCCCAGATGGAGTCTCGAACCAAGCACTCAGATCCTGCAGGGATCAGCTGGTTGGGGGGTAGTTGTAGACATCTATAACCTCTCCTTACTGGGGTGTGAGGTTCCCACCTGCTTCAGGAAGACCACCATCATCCTGGGCCAAAGTCAAATCAGGCAACGTACCTCAGTGACTACCATCCATTGGCTCTGACATCCATCATTAGGAAGTGCTTCGAGAGGTTACTCATCACTCACGTCAACTCCAGCCTCACAGGATCTGCTACAATTCACCTACTGTTGCAATAGATCCATGGCAGATACCATTGCCCTGGCCTTACATTCATCCCTGGAACATCTGGATATCAAGGACACCTACATCAGACTCCTACTTATTTACTTTAATTCCACTTTCAACACTATAATTCCAACAAAACTCATCTCCAAACTCCAAGACCTAGGACTCTGCTCCCCCACCTGCAACTGGATCCTGGACTTCCTGACCCACAGGCCACAATCAGTTATGGTAGGCGACAACACCTGCTCCACCATAATCCCTAAAACTGATTCCCTGCAAGCCTGTGTACTCAGCCCCCGCTATACTACTTATACACTCAGGGCTGTGCGGCCAAATTCAACGCCAACTCCATTTACAAATTTGCTGATGACACCACTGCAGTGGGATGGATCTCAAACAATGACGTGACAGAGTACAAGAAGGAGATAGACAGCTTCATGCCATGGTGTAAAGACAACAATCCCACAATGTCAGAAAAACGAAGGAGCTGGTCATCGACTTCAGGAAGCAGAGTGGAGGTCATGCCCCTGTCTGTCTCAATGGTGTTGAGGTGGAGGAAGTTGGGAGTTTCAACTTCCTAGGAGTAAATACCATCAATCTGTCCCGGTCCACCCACATCAATGCTACAGTGAAGAAAGCACATCAACGCCTCTACTTCCTCACGAGGCTAAGGAAATTTGGCATTTTCCACATGACTCTTCCCAACTTCTTAAGATGAACCATAGAAAACATCCTACCTGGATGCAGCACAGCTTGGTATGGCAACTGCTCCGCCCAAGACCGCAAGAAATTACAGAGAGTTGTGAACACAGCCCAATCCATCACACAAACCAACCTTCCTTCCTTTGACAGTGTCTATACTTCCCGCTGCCTCCGGAAAGCAGCCAACATAATCAAAAACCCCTCCCACCCCGGTTATACTCTCTTCCACCCTCTTCCATCGGGCAGAAGATACAAAAGTTTGAAAACACGTACCAACAGATTCAAGAACAGCTTCTTCCCTGTTGTTATCAGACCTTTGAATGGATCGCTCATATATTAGAATTGATCCTTCTTTGCACCCTCTCTGTAGCTGTAACACTACATTCTGCATAAATAAAAACCGAAAGAACTGCAGATGCTGTAAATCAGGAACAAAAGTTCTGAGGAAGAGTCACCGGACCCGAAACGTTAACTCTGACTTTGTTCTTCACAGATGCTACCTGCTGAGCTTTTCCAGCAACTTCTGTTCTATAACCCTGATGTGCTCATGTAAGGTATGATTTATCTAGATAGCGCACAAAACAACACTTTTCACTATATCTCAATACATGTGACAATAATAAATCAATTTATCCCTTCTCAATGTGCAGACTTGGAAATATATCGCCATTCCTTCAGTGATGCTGGGTCAAAATCCTGGAATTCCCTCCCAAAGGGCTTTGTGGTTCAATACCTACAGCACATGGACTGCAGCGGTTCAAGAAGGCAGCTCAGCCCCACCTTCTCAAGGGGCAACTAGGGACGGGTAATAAATGCTGGGCACAGCCAGTGACACCCATGTCCCGTTAGAGAATAAAAAGAGTCTTGGATAGTTGGCCCTGAGTTGGTTCCTGTACGAACTGGTCTAAAATTCCATCTTGTACTTGCTCCAAGGATTCATCCACCAAGGTATTAATTCAAATGTAGATTAGAAACAACCATGATTATTATAGCACCCTTGTTGCATGCATCTCTAATTTTTCTATTTAATGGCATTCCCTGCCTTTGCATTATTGTTTTAGGGACGTATAGACAACTCCCACTGATATTTTATGCTGCTTGTTGCTTCTTAGCTCCAGGGTAAGAGATTCCCTGCACCAATATCCTTTCTCAGTATTGCACTGATTTCATCTTTCGCTAACAATGCCAGCCGCACCTCCTTTTCCATTTTGTCTGTTCCTCCTGAAGATTGGTTATGCTGCAGCCATGTCTCTGTAATTATATCATATCATACCCATTTATAACTGTCCTAATTGTTAACTCATCTCCATCACTGAAGGTGCTCTGTGCGTTCAGACATCGTCTACAGTTGACATTTTATACTCATCATTTTTGTACCCCAGCCGTGTTGCTGCCAGACCTTGTTTTCTGTTTTCCACATCTGCTCTCTACGTTTCTTTCTTTCATTTCTATCTTTGCTTCCCTCACTCTTGTCTCCTGCCCCTGCAACCTGCAAACTGCTGTGAACAAACAGCGAGCACAAGCACCAGGCCAATTAAATCGCCACATAATATACTTGAATTCTCTTTAAAAACTTTTAAGTTGTTTGTTGTAAAGATATCAGCGATGGGGAGTAAAAGTTTGTTCAACTGACAGTCAGGAATTATTCAATGCAAAAATAAAGCAATTCCTGCTTTTCCAGTTGGTCGGGAAAGGTGGGGAATCAAATAAGAGGGCAGTTTGAGGCAGGGGATCTTCAAGGAGCACGTCCAATCAGAGCTGCCAACCCTCATCTCAGGATTCTTTCATCTGGTTCCAATCCAATCTGTTTGACCTGGTTTAAAAGCAAGATTTTGGCCATCTGTCCTAATGTCTCCTTTACGTGGCTCAGCTTCCATTGTGACTGATCAGGTCCTTGAGATTTTACATTTCAACATGTTAAAGGCGCTATACAAGTGTAAGTTTACATTGTTGATCCACTGTCACATGATCAAATCCACAGGTCTGAACCCAATGAGAGCTGGTAACCCTGGGCTACAGACTGGTTTAATGAATAGACTGTTAATGCAGCTCTGGCTGAACTGGAGCTTGTTTAAATATTAACTTGTGTTTCTCTCCTGTACAGGAACAAACAGACTGCATTCGGCTCACTGTCAGTTTCGAATCCATATAGGTAACATCTCAGCTGGAAACAAACTGACCAAGCCTGACCCTGGCCTTGACAGTGGATCTTACTGGCCTGGGGTCGGGAGCTGGCTGGAGCTCCCCATGTCCCACAAACAGCGAGGCGCAGGGGAAAGGTACTGAACTTTGACCCAAATCGTAATGCTCGAGTGAAGAGGGGCAGAATTCCCTGCTCAGAGGAATTGTCAGCACAGGGAGAGAACAGCTGGACACTGACCTTTCACCCTTGTCTCACCTGGTAGTGATACGGCTCCAAATCCATGGTCCTGGAGATGTTTGAGTGGGAGGAGACATGTTGAACTTTAACCTTCACTCACCTGACTCCAGTGAAGTCATCACTCCCTTATCCGTAGGGATGAGAGTTGGGATCAGGGACTGGGGAGGGCGATGTTAGGGTAGAACAGGGGAATGATGGGGTGGCAGGGATTGGAGGGAGGTACAGGCGTGTGAGAAGGGGAGGGCTGGACAAATGACAGGAGTAGAGAGACAGTAAGGTGGTGGGAGGGAGAGAGGGTTGGGAAGAATTGGGAGTGGGCTGGATGGTGTTGGAACTGGGTGATGGGTGGAGAGACCAAGGGAGGCTAAATTGGGAATTTCGGGCAAGGATAATGGAGTGTGGTACTGCTGGGTGATGGACGGAGGTTTGGGGTGGAGAGGATTTCTGGGGGTGAACTGGGGGAGGGAAGCGGTGTGGGCCGGTTGACTGATTAAAGGCAACAGCATCAAAACATAGTCAATGAGCTTTTACAGCACAAAAAGAGGTTTGTTGGCCCATTGTGTCCCTGTAGACCATTAAACATCCATCTATGAGCCACAGTCTCTCACCTGTGACTGTAACAGATGCTCTTCCACATCCCGGTGCATCTCCTGGTCCCCAGCGCACTTTCCCAATGATTCCTGAACTGTGTCCAACCAAAACTCCAAAGCAGCAGCTCGGTCCTGGCACATATGGAGATCCTCCAGCAGCTGTGAGAACGGCAGAGGTTGGCGGGGGGGGGTGCAATGAGGAGAGCCGAGGGGGGACAGGACAATAGAGAAAGAGAGGTGAGGGTGAGCAAGGTGGAGGGCAAGAGGAAAGGGGAGAGGGGAAGGAAGGAAAGTGAAATGGTGAGGAATAGGAATGAGGGCATAGAGGGGGTGTTAGGTGGAGGAAAGAGAGTGAGACAGTAGGTATGAGAAGGTGGGAGGAGGGATGGGATGACAAGAGAAGGCAGGCAGAACATTGAGATAGGAAGTGAGAGAGGATGGAAAGAAAGGGGAGGGGTAGATATGGAAAGAGTGAGTGAGAAAGAGAAGGAGGAAGAGAGGGAGGGAGAAAAAGGGAGTGAGGGAGAGGATGAGATGGAGGGATTGAAGGGGGAGACAAGAGTCAGGGGATGGGAGAACAAAATGAGTGAGTGAAACTTACCCCCCACCCCTCACATAAACCTTCAGAGAGTTTACCTGATGCAGCTGATACCAGGTGAGGGGTTAGGGAGGGGGGTGCTGTGACAGGACCTGAAGCATAGTTGAGATGACGTGTCAGAGCTGGTTCGGAGATGGAGTGATGTGGGCTGGAGACGTTGTTGTGTTGAACAATGTTCAATCTGCTCCCTGGCCTGAACACTAGTTAAACAAGTCAGACTGTTCCTGTGTGGGCTCTGATCATGTTCAACTGTACAATATAAAATCCGCACAAACAAATTCTCCCTCCGTACTGCCCCGGGAAAAACCATTTCAATGTACTTTACAGCCACGTTTACAAGACTCTTATGGTGAAGGAATTAAACCTGGCAACTAATTTATAATACAACAGTAACCAGACTTACTAATATAGTTAATTAACGCATTGGATTAAAGATGCTGAAGACTCCACAGATTCCCAATCACCCCTCTGGGCTACGCAACTCAGGAAAATCCCAGGCTCCACTTACGGCCTGCACTGATCAAGTTAATCTTTGGCAGCAGTTGGGCAAGGCCAGTACCCTGCTAGGGAGGGGGCAGTAATACTGCTGGCAGGTGTGTGACTAAAGGAATGTATGTATGTGAGTATGACATGTGTACATCCATGTGCTTTTTGTGCAAATGCATAATGCATACTTACGTGTGCCTGGGTTTGGGTATGAGTATGTACCCGTTTGTGTCTGTGCGTGTGTGTGTATGTCTGTGTGTGTGTGTGTCTGTGCGTGTGTGTCTGTGTGTGTGT